AGGTTTGCTCTGGGATGGTCCCAACCCACCCGGTTACAACAGACACAAGCCGAGCCTGTCCATGTGGCAGCTTTATTTTCCCCCACCAGGTAACTCAGTGCCAATGAAGTCTTTCCTTCCACTTCTGCCGCGCTCCCAAATTATGTCTCTGGGACCATGTTCTGCGCCTCCCACAATGCTGCAGCAGGAGATGGTGCCCAAAGGACCTGGATAACGTGGTGCCAGGATACCCTATTCCTCTGAAATCCCAGCCAACTTGTTAAATGAGAGTGCTTGGAGACGTCCCATGTAGGCAATGAAAACAGTGTGTGGGAGCAATTGCAGGTGATCTCACCCTGCATTAATGCAGGCTGTTCGAGAGGGTGACAGTAATGCTAGCTGCTGTCGTTATTGAACAGCGATTAGCCGCGTTGGCCTTGGAGCCAGCCATGCCATTAACTGCTCTGCATCTCCAACCATAATTGAAAACACTTGATGTATGTCAGAGACGGACCTGCCGGCTTCAATGCCAGGCTGGTGTACGGAAGAAGTGCCAGCCCTGTAGATACCAGTCATCAGCAACTGGTTAGCAGCAGTTGTGCGAAGTTTGGGACTGTCACTAGCCATCTAACCCGACAAATGGATCTTCTTGGACTCATTTATTCTGATTTAATTACCCTGTTTGTAATTTTTTCAGGGAGCAAAAATCACGTGCAGCTGTTAATATTTATGGGTGAGCATTTTAAAAGACGACACGCATTTTTGATGGTTTGCAAATACCCATTTCTCTTGGACAGCCTTGTCTGGATTCATAACTGAATGCCAGTGTCAGTAAAAAGAAGTGCAGTCCAAGAGTCCCCATACCCTTATTGCAGTAAACAAAGTATTTATCGTCTTTCTCCAGTTTTAATGCGCGTTAATTATTCCGTGCTGGCTCTGGGACTGGAACAATTTTGCAGTCGCTGCCTTGGTATCACTCAGTTTAGTTAACCAAGAAGGATTATTGCTGAAAAGGTGACTGAGGTTCTTCACTATTAACGATAACTTTTCCAGATTAATTGACATGGAAATCCTCGTGTCGTTCCGACACGGATACCCTTCAGCCCATCTTGTCCCCGAATCGTCTGTGCTAGCAGCGGTTTCTATTAGCCTGAGAACATAATGTGAACGAGGTTCTTTTCCAAAAGTTACTGACAATAAGGACGGTTAGTTCTTGCAGTCCTCTGCGGTGCAATCTGTTTCAGACGGTGGAATTGGAGTATCTCAGAACAGTGTAGGAGTGCTGAATGTACGTGATCAAGCCACAAGAGTGGGGAGAAAAAAATCCAGAAAAATAAAAGAGTAATTATCAGATCCAGTGAAATCATGGTCTGCTAAAAAAAATATAGCTAAACTCATTGCCTGCATTATTAATTGGAAATGATCTGTTCAACTAGACCAAGAATGTCACTCCAATCAGGCAGCGACTCTGACGGCCATTTCCCCAGGGATCGGATACCTCCATTCATTAGGACCTGCGATCCAGCCTCATGGAAACGATTTGACACATATTTCCACCCACATCCATGACTTCCCTGTCAAAATGTGTCAGTCCCTTACTGGGGGACACTGTCTTCTTCAGCTCTTATCAATGCAGAGGTGTGTAGGATGTCGTCGTTCCCGTGAACTGCAGCAAAAGGCTGGGTGTTGTCACGCTTGAGTTACTAGATTTGGGAATGATGAGGTCCAAGTTTCCAGGGGGGGCTACAGATTTCCGGTGTGCTTTTTGGGCAATTCATAAGCAATCAGGGTTTCAAAAGTGCTCTGCTCTCATTTGCAACAGCTCAGCTGCCAGCGTGTCAGGGTCTGCTGAAAATCTGGCCCTTTTGTTCAAGCGGTTAAAGGAGCTCAGCTCTGAAATTGTGGCCCTTATGCTCTCTTGGCCTCGGGTCCCTCATGTGTCTTGAGCACTCTTGTTCTTTGAATGGCCCTCAAATTTCAAGCCATATTCCTTCAAGAATGGAGAACTCCTAGCTTCATGCTAGACCCAAACCTCTTGGCTCCATCCATCAGCTTCTGGGGAGGCAGGAGCTGGGATTCCTTCCAGTCCTTGCAGCGTTGTTGCTTAAGTACAACATAGACAAGGAGGGTGGAAGGGAGCTCAGGAGGTCACATCTAGTCCACCCCCCTGCTCCAAGCAGGACCAGCCCCAACTCCATCATCCCAGACAAGGCTTTGTCTAGTCGGGTCTTAACCTCCAAGGATGGAGACTGCACCACCTCTCTGGGGAACCTGTTCTAGTGCTTCACCACCCTCCTAGTGGGTTTTTCCCCCCCAATATCCAACCTAAACCTCCCTTGCTGCAGCTTGAGCCCATTGCTCCTTGTCCTGCCATCTGCCCCCACTGAGACCAGCCCAGCTCCATCCTCTTTGCAACCCCCTGCAGGGAGCTGAAGGCTGCTATCAAATCCCACCTCGGTCTTCTCTTCTGCAGACTATATAAGCCCACTTCCCTCAGCCTCTTCTCACAAGTCATGTACTCGAGCTTAAAGGGTGAGCCGCAGTCCTTGCTGGGTCATTTTTGCAGCCATGGTGTGGGTTGCAACCCTTTTGCAGAGTCTAAGATGTTCCTTCAGGCTGGTGGCAGCATGGCTCAAACTGTTCACTGGGCCAAACTCCAAACTCCAGTTTCTGGCCGTGTCTGGGCCTGGTCCAACCAGCAGTAATAGCGGTGACCATGTGTTCTGGCCTCTGCCCTGAGCCTCGCCTTGCCAGCACCTATCAGAGAAGAGGCGTTGAGCTAGTCGGTCTGATCCGGTCTGACAACTGGCAGGCCATATGCGGGTGACTTGTTTGCCCCTTCAGTCCCCATTTGAAATCCGGGCAGTGAAGGGAACAAGTCTTTGCATAAAGACCCACTAGGCCACGGGGAAGCTCGTGCTGAGATGCCTGCTCCTTGCTGAGTCTGCAGAAGAAGCCATGCAGGCTGTTACCAGTTTAGGAACAGATCAAGGGATTCCCAAGTAGTGTAGAAGGGCTTGCTAGGGGACCCCAAAATGTCACATCCAACTTTTCATCCTTCATGTCACATGGGGGGATCCTGGAGCCTTGAGTCGGTGTAAATGTCACAGCCAAGAGTCCTTAGGAATGGAGTGACAATGAAAGGAAACGCTAGTGCCAGGAGTGGTAACACGGAAAATGCTGACACCGTCAGTGCCGCGGGCTTGGAGATTTATTGATAATAACTCGGGATGTGTCATAAACAGGAGTGATATTAAATGACTCTGACTGAATCAGGGACTGAGTTGTACAACCCACAGTGTGTGCTCCTCTCTCTGCCTTGCTGAAATCCCGAGGCATTTTTCCAGCGGCTCCCCCAAGCTCATTAAGTGCTCTCCCGAGGAGCCCGCGGACCTGAGACAGGGATCTCGCTGCACAGCAGCACCAGCAGCTGCCGAGATCGGAAACGACGAGTGGCCTGATTGCCTGGCGTTGGCCCTGAGTACCCAGCTACACAGTGCTGCCAGGCCACAGCCACTGCTTCATGCCCTCCCTTGCCACCCCTAGGTAGTGGGGTAACTGACTGTTCAGACCATGCAAATTGGATGTTGAATTTGGGTCTGCCCACAATGCCTTAAAACAATGTTACTAGGCTGAATCCTGCCCTTGTGACACTGTGCCCATCAGTGCCAATTGGATCCTCCATAAGAAGCCAAAGGCAGAGCCCGTGGTTCCTCCCACGAATGTCTCGTGACGTCTCGCCGTTTCATGACATGCATCTAAACCACACGCACCGTGTACAAGCGCCCTTTGGTGATGAGGGGCTTATAGAGGGGTAACGTGGAAAAGAGGCAGTGGGCTAAGTTAGGGCAGGTCTGAGCAGAACAATGTTTCCCCACCTCCACGGCTGAAAGCAGCTCTTGAGGGATGCCAAGGAGCATGCTTCCCAGCCCAGGACTGTGGTTAGCAAAAGGGTAATAGTAGCTGTGAGTGCAGGGAGCTGCTGCTATAGTGGCTGATCCTATAGCAGCAATCACCCTCACTCTCTTCAGGGCTCCCCATAGCTCAGGGTGACTGTGGACATCCAGATCTTGGGTTCCCAGCTAGCTGGTGGCCAAGAAGTCATTGCTTCCTTCAGTGCCGTCGGCCACCAGTGGCCCGTGAAGCTCTGACGGGCAGTCCTGAGGGGTGGCTGTACCAGGAGGTGAAGGGAAATGGGTGTATTTTGATTCTGGATTGAAAATGGGTGGGTTGAAAAGGGATGTGCTGGAATCAGGCTGGTTGCTATGGGGAGGATGTGGGAGGATTCAGCCTGCAGAACTGCAGCTCGCTGACTCCGAAGCCGAGCAGGGCCGAAGGGGCCAGAGCCAGGCAGAGAGCCCACTCCATCGCATTGTTTTGTGGGTCTGTGGCATTTTAAGAAATGCTACATTCATCCCTCAGGCTAGAAAAGGTCGGACAGCTGTGATCCATCAGATTCACTCCCTTACATACATACCACCCCAAGCCATCGTGCCGCCGTCGGTCCCCCAGTGTGTGCAAGAGCAGCCTTTATGGTGAGAGATGCAACCCTTGTGCTCTTCTGCAGAGAGCGGCACTGGTTTTTTTTCCTCCCCTGGCATGGGTGGGCGGTTGAGGAGGAGGCAACTTCCACACAGGCTGACACCTCTGCCGCTCCGCGCCCGTCTGGCAGGGACTTGAACAGCGAGCAGCTGTCGCTCCATGCCCTCTGAGCCCGTGGGATTGAGCAGGACTGGGTTTTAAAACACTTGTGTTTTTTTTGTTTTGTTTTTTTCATTGTTCACAGCAACAGATAGCATCCCGGCAGAAGAAGCGTCCACAAGAGAGCGGCAAGCTCTCGTTTGCTTGCACGCTAAGCCAAGGCAAGTTCACAGCTAGAGAGCAGGGGCACGGCATGGAAGGGAAGGGCCTCTCTGACTTCCTAGCTCCCTTATTTAATGGAGGGTAGGATGGTTGTGTGCTGAAAGACCAAATCTTCTCTCTCTGAGGCTCCTCTGACCATCTTCTTCTCTCCCCTCCAGTCTGTTCACAGTTTTCCAAGGGCGTTTATGCCATCTTTGGGTTTTACGAAAGGAGGACCGTCAACATGCTCACATCCTTCTGCGGGGCCCTCCATGTCTGCTTCATCACGCCCAGCTTCCCCGTCGACACATCCAACCAGTTTGTTCTCCAACTACGCCCAGAGCTCCAGGAGGCCCTCATCAGTGTCATCGAGCACTACAGCTGGCAGAAATTCGTCTACATTTACGATGCCGATCGGGGTGAGTCACGCGCCTACCAGGCGGGTTGGGAGGAGCGCATGGTGCCATTTTCCTC